GGCGATGGAAAGAGAGACAACAGCGGTTCTCTGGTTGTAATCCAGTCGTGAAGGTCCACTGAAACCCACAGGAACACGAGCAGCAACAGCACAGCGAACCGAAATTAGGGCATGCGGAGCAGAGAACAGGATAACAAAGAAAAGGAAGTTAAATTAAGGTGGAAAACCGCTAGCTTTTTCCCAAAAGATCACCACGCCTGTAACCAAAACCCTGTAAGGTGTGTTAGCATCTCGTTAAGCTGACTTCTCCTTGCAAATCAGTACTGAAGTGAAAACTTGTAAGCAACATCAGTATTCAGAGGAAAAATGGTCAACAAGTCACTCCCTTTATTAAGATCTGGATTGTATTATGAACAAAGTTTGAAAGCAGTTTCCCGGTGATTATTCTCTACTGAATGCGGCCTTTCTGCCCCAAAACAACAGGAAATTTGAAGTAGTTCTGCTGAAAAATGAAATGCAATAATAATAGCAATAAAAATATTTAGTACTCCGGAGTACTTCACATGTATGAAGCACTGCATGAACATTAATTTATCCTAATCATCTCCGTGAATCAGGTATGTATTATTAATAGCACCATTACTCAACTGCTGCAGATTCCCGTTATTTCTTTTGCTCATTTCTCTCATTCCTCTTTTCCCTTTCACATGCAGAACACATCCCTCTGATTTATTTGCTCTCCTTTTCTTCTTCAAAGTTCCTCACCCACCTACTCTGGCACCCTTACCCTCTCTGTTTTAGGACACGCAGGGGTGTTTTGTGTCCTTCGCTAGCCTGAACACTTCGAGCAGGTTCATCTCATCCACCTGCATCACTTACACCTGATGCTCTAAGCTGAAATTTTTTTTACTGGATAGACTGATAACCTGCATAGCAACACTCACCAGAAACAGGCAGTCATCTGACAACAATTAAATACAGCTCATGGTATCTGCACCAGCACAGGCTCCTGCTTTGCCACCGGCCACTTCTTTGGGAAAAGGACAACTGTCTCATTTTGAGCACTGGAGCTGAGTAATAAAGGAATACTCACACAGTGGCCTTACAATGACAGAACAAATTTACCACAGCAAATGCTGACGGCCACTAAGTGGTCTAGTTTTCATCTAGTTCTATAAGGAATTCATCGTAAGTAATAAACCCTGTAATTTCTATCTAAACCTTGGAAGCCTTCATCAATTTTTACACAAATTCATCAGTATCACCCGATATGCTGTCATTCACTTACAATGCAAGTACTAACACAAGGGAAATTTTCACTCGCGTGCACATGCAATATTGCAAATTTAATCAAACACATTAGTCCCTTCTTTGCTGACTTAGGCTATAACTCATCAATAACTGCAGAATTTCTCAGGGCAAACACTAAGTTGACAGGACTCTTTCCTCTGAGGCAGCACTTTTCAGAGCAGTTTTTAAAATGCTAAGCTAAATCAATTCATCAAAATTGTTTTCTTTAGATGGAAAACAGAATTACAAGAAAAAAGATGACTTGTTTACCTCCCTGGCCAAAAGCAAGCAAATAGAAAAGATGACACAAACACCTTTACTGAATGGCACAGACCCAAGCAAACAAGCATTCAAAAATCAACAGCAAACATAACTGTGCTAACTTTGGTATTTCCTTAAGCATCCGACACACCAAAAGATCTGAGGTATTGGGTAAAAATATTAATAGGGCACCAATATTCGACAAGAGCCGTTTTCCAGCCTCATTTCAATTAACAGGTGTTAAAATTTTTATTAAAAAATTTAGGCATTACTGTTTTTCTTTCCAGAAGTAGGTAAAACTAACTTCTATAGCGATAGTCCCAGGATAAGTAGGAAACGGAGTGACTTAGAAACTTTATGCCTCCTATCCACAGTCAATAAAATTTCTAGACAAATCTCCTTTCCCAATAAAATTCAGGATCAGCTGAGGTATAAAATGAATTCAACCAGCAGCGAAGCTTTCGGCTAAAGAGAGATGAACGCGATATGCTTTCTCTAACCCTCCCAGAACTGGAGCGTGGCAGCGCAGAGCCCCGCACGCCCCGAGCCCCAGGGCTGCCCCGGACCCACCGTGATCCTAACGTGAAAGCGCACAACAGCCTTGTGCCAGCAGCACTGACACAGCAGCCAGCCCCACCCTGGGAAAGGGAATCCAAATGGATGCACCATCCTCACGGCTTAATGGATAGCAGGTTTCTGTACTACAGGCACAGCAAGGGTTTGCACAGCGCTTCAGCTGTTGTAATTCCCCTTGGAGCTTAATATCCACCGGATCCTTTTATTCATCAAAATTTTGTACTCTCAGATGATTTTATTTCCCCTCCTTTTTTACGATTACCTACGTGTGTGAAATTAACACAGACAAGTTCTCCTTCATTCTTAGTCTTTCTAGAAGAGACGATGCTCACAATGTAACAGAAAAATAAAAAGGCAGATTTGGGCAAAAAGGAGAGGTCTCTCCAAAGTCCCTCCCAGAGAAGAGCTTTCTGGCTCTCCTCCTCCTACTCCCAAGTGAGATACCACCACAAACAATACCGCCCAGGGCTGCCAGCACGCTTTTTAAAGAGCATTCACGGAAAACGCAGCCAAGAGTAAACTCGAGTTTCCGCCTGTCCTGTCTCACACGGCAGTGCATAAAGAAAAAGGCTGACAGATGAGTCTGGTACTCCGCAGTGGGGTAATAGCTCATACATTCTCCATTCTCAGACCATGGAATAAATATGTAATAGGTTAAAGTACTTAATATTATAAATGAAGCAGGGTCAAGACCAAGTGAACGCTCCAATATTCGATACAAATATATCATTGCCGTGACATTACTTCATTACTCTGCAGCACATAATAATACACTTGCAAAGTTTATGTTTCCATCTCCATTCTTCAAGCTTTTTTCATAGGTTTCACAACTTCACTAAAAAGAATTTGAATTTTTACTTTTGTGCCTTTGTGACAATGTACGTCTATTTATCATGTAGTTCCTTCAATTAATCTAGCACCATGATTTACTGCACTGCAAATACTCAGCATCAAGACCCAACCATGGCTTGTCAGCTTATCCTAGGAGCACGTTTGATATAATCTACCAGCTCCTGGTGATTTCTTGGGACCTTTTGCTAGCTTTTACAGCTTTTTGGCATTAATTGCTCATTAACTGCTTTCTCTGAAGACAAGTATGTTGAAACTCTTTAATAATTTCCTCTGCCAGTATCTATTTCTGAGCTTACTGATACTCAATCCAGAAGTTTTGAACATCTTGCAAGCTTTGATTTCTTGCCAAGGTTCTCTTCTGCTTCTACACCAGCTTTCTTCAGACACCTTGCAATTATCTCCACCTTGCAGTAGTATTCCAGGATTAGTTTTGGCCCTGTTTTCCTAAGGACCCCCAGATCACAGTTATTTCTTGTTTTCTTTTTCTCAATGTTGTGGGTTTTGGTTGTTGGGGTTTTTTTGGTTTTTTGGTTTTTTTAAGTCTTGACATTTCCAAATAATCACCTAGAAGATGGTTAAACTGCTTCTGAAACTGTCTTGTTTAATTCTATTTTTCATGCATTTTTATCCTAAAAACATATTGACAGGTTCGTATGTTTAACGAGATGAAAGTAATCGATGCCTCAGCGAGCACTAGGTTCAATTTCTGAAGAGATCTGCAGGATAATGTTTACAAAATGTTTTAAATTTTAAAACTTTTCAAAATAGTCTGCTCATAGGAATGTCAGTTTCCTATAAGCATATTTTACAACTCCAGAAATATTTTATTTGTAGGTTTCTTTAACAAAATGCCAGATGTATAAAAGTATTTACTATCCCTTCAATAAAAAAAAAAAGCAAAACCAAAAAACCCAAACACAACATTTAGAAAGAATCAGGTTTACTCAGATTAACTGACACTGATTCTTCGAAGTCCAACATTTCGGGTAACACTCACCGCCAAATATTAAGACTGTGTTTTTCTTCCTGGAAACTTTAAATTTCCTAATCATACATATTTAATAATAAATTCAACCTAACCAAAATCTTAATTCAAGCTTTAAATTAATTAATTTCTAAGTATTAAAGATATTGAGGATAAAGTTGTGGTAAGCAACAATCGAAAAATTTCCTGTAAAAGCTTTTTGTGCAGTTCTGGCCAGAAGTTCAAGTTATCTTAGCAAAGCACATTTGAGAACGCCACGGGTAATTTTTTATTTTTATTTTTTTTAAATGAAAGCCTGCCCTCTGGTGTAAGATTGAAGTTTAGCATGACTGCGGTCAAGAACTCGGAAACATGATAATCAGTGGTACTTCTTGACTATCTGGAAAACATCAACCTTCCAGCGCTCCTCCTTTGGAGTGTGCTGCTTTTGCTGAATGGAGAACACACAAAGCAGCTACTCATAAGCTAATGCCCTCTCTGCAGCAAGAATAAAAAGGAAATGCTTTCTATTTTTCTTGGTATCTTGGCCAATAAACTACAGTCAATTTGCAAACATTTAAGTGCACAGGTGATTTTGGAATTAGCGTCTTCCATCACCTTTTGTACACAATCAGTAGAGACAAAAGGAAAAAAAGGTTCTTCACTGCCCGATTCTGACAAATAAAGGAGGAGAAGAACAGCTAAATCATTGGGACTTTGTTTTGGTTTTTAACCCTTGTCCCAGTTAGTATACTGTAAAGGCATCTACTTTCTTGAGAGGAGGCCAAGCATGAAGTCTGAGTCACAACTGACTTGCGAAAGCCCACTGAAGACAATATATAAATGTCACTTAGTGCTGACAAGATCCTAAAGCCAAAATCACTCAAAACTACCATGATTACTACCTACTACATGCATTTCACAGTCGGCATGAGCAATAAATGTTTATCCAGCTGCATAAGTAGCAGCGCTGTCACAGAACACATCTTGTCCACAATGAATGTCTTACACTCACTACAAAAAGGCAAAGCTTTCACCCATACTTGAAATTAAGAATGTTTCATCCCCCAGAGAAGTTAGACAACTCCAACACAAGTGAAAAACAAGTAACACCTACTTTCGAAGGTGTTCGTGCTCCTTCAGGAATAGTTCTGTTCTTCTGTTATTCACTCCAGACCCACTTTTATATGATCTAAAATGTAAAAAATAATGATAGTTGAAAAACACTATTTCCAGAGGCAATTCAGTAGACAATATTCACTGATTTACATACCTATCATGCTTTGTTACTCTGAAGTGACCAAATAGAAAAGTTCTGCACATTTTTAATGTAGTTTGGCATAGCATAATAGTTTTACTTTAAAAACGTTAATTCCTTTTCAGTTAAAAAAAAACAAAACACAAACCAAACCAGAATCTTATCACAACCTTAATAAAAGTTGTCAATTCAAATAACTTTTTTTGCTTTGTTCAGAGCACAGATGAATAAGCTATGCCATAAGCTACGTATTCTCCTACAGGAGAGCTGCTGCCTTCTCCCTTCAAGGACAGTCCCATGCCATTGCCGTAACACACAATATGACTTACTCGATATCTTTTCGTACTGATCCCAACAGATTCTCTCTTTCTCGTATTGCCAAGAAGTTCGCTTTGGTTTTGTGGAATTCGTGCGTATAATCCTGTAATGAAACAATTATTTCAAAATGAGGAACGTGAGATCAATTTTAACAAAACAATATACTCAAGTAAGATCCAACCATCATTTAAAATGTTAACTGTTCTCTAATACAAAGTGCAAGACTAACTAAGTAACATCAAAAATGCTTGGAATTTAATGCAAAGTATTTTTAAAACTCAGTGCTCTTGCAGTATTTGCTAGCTTTTGATAGGTACAGCTAAGGTTATAGAGGGAAATCCACTGTAATTCCTTGTCCCAATTTCATGTATCTTCACCTTTCTGATGAATTATCATTCTGTTGGAATCTCCCATTACTGGTTGAATAAGAAGCCCTAGTAAAGGGCTTGGGTTTATTTGAAGTTACACCAGATGGACAAAAAAAAGTCTTTTCTAAACAGTGACAACAATTTTTTTTTAATGTTCAAGTTGCAATTTTACATTTCAGGCAGCTAGTACTTCTTGAAAACCAATTTAACTGACAATTGGTGTCCACCAAAGTCACTGTAACATTTAGCAGAATTTTTCATATAAATGCTATGGCTTTTACAAAACACTATGCTTTTTATATTGTGTATTGTACAGGTACAAAACAGAAATTTAAATGTATATCACCAGCCAATAAATCAGGCATTTTTAACATTACTATGTCATAAAAACATCAACAGTTTGAAACATTGTTGATTTATAACACTAATTAGTAGGTTTAGCCATGACATTTCCTTCAAGTCCCTTTAGCAGTTTAGATAGGTTTACAATCACATTTTCTTACCTTAAATGTGATGTTCCCTCTCACATTGCTATGTGACGGACCACACAGACAAGATAACTAATTACAGTACCCTTTCCCTTTTGCTATACAAAAGATACCTATATAAGACAGCATGCTTTACTGTTCTTAGCTAGGTGCTAGTCACCAACATGACATAAAAAAATGCTATTTTTTCAACTCAGAGTTCAATTGGGGTGCTCATTGGGGTGCCCAAAGAGAAGAGAAGTGAGACGGGATCCGTGGCACTTAAATCTTCTGGTAAGACATTCAAGCGGGCTGTGATATCAGCACTACTAGTAATTACTCCAAACAAAGCAACAAAATAAAAGCAAGGAGGACACGCATTTGTTACCTGCAGTATGTCTCTATGACGCTGTAACGTATGCATCAGTGCAGCATTCAGGGACGGGACTCCCGCGCTATTTGTGTATTCTGCCATTTTGTCATTTATTCCAGTAAGCTAGAGGAGGCCAAAAAAAAAAACAAAAACAAATCAAAACATGAAATAGCTTATTCTTGTAAGAAAGTTACATTGCATAAGTTGAAGGAGCTAGCTCTAACGAGATACGTACCTTCAGAAACACGTGTGTATCACTCACACTAGTATTTCCTAACATTCATCACAGAAACCTGTACTGCAGTATTTCCTAGAAGCTGATTTAAAACCACAGTAACTTGAGTTACCTTTCCCAGAAGTTGTTCAATCTCCACAGCCATGGTCTCAAACATTCTGTCCTGGCTTGATCCATTTAAGAGAGGAGTTGTGTCAGAGCTAAGGAAAAAGAGGAGGAGCAGTTACTGAAAAGTACATAATTTTTTCATGAATGCAAGAAATAAGGAAGCACTACTGTTAGCAAGCTCCTCTACCCAGGTATCCTAGAGAGATTAAGCTCAGACAAACTATATTTTCTTATCAGACATACCTTTAACTCTTATCTGAACTAATCACACAGTATCACTTGGGGAAAATATAACCTCTCCTTGGAAGACATGCTTGACACCAAACACTACTAGCACGTGTCTAGCGCCGATGCCTTTCTCTGCCCAACTTTTAAGCTTGATTTATTTATTTATTGGCAGGTGGGAGCACTGCGCTATTAGTGTGTTACACCAGCTAGACAATTACACCTTAATAACACAGTGCTAGGACAACCCACTGACCTATTAAGCAATCAGTGTTCTACAGAGCAATACAAACCACACAATTTATCACAATTACAGATTCATACAATACACCTTCCCTATGCTTTTTAAGATAAACTAAAACCACGAGAAGTCATATCTAAGCAACGGAAGCAAAACACTTAGTACGTCAAGTAGAAGTATGTAGACGTATGATAACTAATACCTTTCAGGGACTACTCTTTGCTTTGGTATGCTACCATAACTAAAGTGAGACAAGTAAGTCTTGCACAGGACAGCCAAAATAACTAAAACGATTAGATTACACGAAAAGTAACAGCACAAAGCTGGAAACAAGAGACAGACTAGGACTCTGATTCAAGAGTAACATGATCATTCTTGAGCTCTCTCAGGCTACCAGAACTAGAAATTCATGGAAAGGTTCAAAACTGATTCAATCATCAAATAAAATAAATAAAAACACCAACACACATACATACAGTAGTCATACTCATAATTGATACACAGCGTTGGGACCCACAGTTCATAAGCAAAGAATGGCAGTTTTTAAGGTTGTGTATAGTGACAGAAAACTTGACAATCAGTACTGTGAAACTGCAGGGAAGACCTCAACTCTGGCCCATGAGCTAGAAAGACTTGAAAAAGTTTTATCATACTTAATTCTTCAGTCAAGCATGAATCTGCCTAAAGCAAACAGAAACTATTCATACATATATACACACATGTATGTATCTATCTGGTTCATACATAGACAAAAACATATATATCTCTCGCTATTACTTGTCTTAAGCCAGAAAGAAACAGCTACCCCTTCTGAAGGAAGGGCTGGTCCTCTGCACAACCTTGGACCAGTCACATCTGCTCAGCGCTCCAGTTCCCTCATTGTTAAAACAGGGATCACAAACACCACACCACCTGTGAGGTGTAAGACTAAATTCTCCTAATACTTAAGTCCCTGAAAACCTCCTGCTAGCTTAATACAAGAAAAACTGGACAATAAGCCAATGTAGTGAACATTACAAAGCCATATAATTAGTTCACGCACTAACTCCACAGTTACAGACTGAAGTTCAAATTCAGCTTCCCCTAGTGACATGTACGCTCTCATGATGTACCACTGCAGCCCCCACGCCTTTCTGACTCATGTGCCAATATCACTCAACGTCGCATCAAGACCAACACCAGCATCACAGCATGAAAAAGTGCTGAAATGAGCTTCTTAAAAAGCTAAGCATAAAAGCCACAGGCGGGACTAGCATTCAACAAATTATAAAAATGAACCAAGTACCACAAGCAGCACTTAAAACATAAAGAAACGGGCTAGTACCTATACCTGTCGCGCCTTCCGTCTCGGGTGCCGCTGTAGCTGGTGCAGAGTTTGCTGAAGGAGACCAGCTTCAGGTCCAGCTCGTTCTCCAGCTGCCTCGCCTGCTTCCTCAGATCTGCACAGGGCGGCCGAGAGCGGGGGAGAAGTCACAAACCTGCACGCTGACCCCACGCCTTTCGGGGAAGGGGACACGCGTTTCCACCAGGTGCTTTCCAGCCGAGCAGGCCCGCACCGCCCGGAGCCCCACAGAGGGGAACCCCACGGAGAAGGTAGGACCCCACAGAGAAGCGGGGACCGACAAGGGGGGACCCTCGGAGATGGGGGGGCTCCACACGCTGAAAGGGGGCTCCTGGCCGGACAACCGCAGGCCCCGTCC